GCCTGAATGGGATTGAGCTACCTTATGATGTTGATGTTTCGACATGAAGTCTGTGCATTGACATGATGTCGTTGTCTGATACGTGGAAAACCTGACAAGCCTTATGTTACTGCCCATCGATAGGTACGATGCCCCCTTAATCACAGCGCCATTGTATCTTACTTGGTACATGTGTTTACGTGGTAGTTAATGGCCTCTTGTGCACAACGGTAATAGAGGCTTGCGTGCCGGCGGGAGATTGGCGATGTTCGGATGCCAGCGTTTCACGCATCTAGATGCATCAATCGTGTGTTAAAACCACATGGCCAAGTTTGGGCATGGAGTTTGCAGAGAGGTTCTTGAGTCTTTCTGTATTTCGCTACCAGGTCATTCAAGAGAGTGTATTTCCACAATCTGCAATTTGGGCATTCCCTATGTCCTGAATTGTTGCAATCACAACCAATCCTATCCTGTCCAAGGAACTTCATCATTCGTCGCAAGTTAGTACGCAAGGAAAACAAGAGGCCGCAACGCTACAAAGGCTAGCTCAAATCGAGATCCGTCACCAATCAAACATGATATGCTCTACTTCCGAGGATTTCTCCGTCGAATCCAGAGTAGGCAATGGCTCAATGTCAATAAAGACAGAGACCTCCTCTCCAGGGAGCGATTCTACAACGCAATGTCGAATGAAGTCTACAAGATGTCGTTTCAGAGCATCGAATTCGTCTTCTCTTCCACAGGGAATTATCTGATCCGCATGAGTGTCTCGAGCTTCCAGTCGAATAAGGAGGTACTTGAGCTCGGATCGCTCAAACTCCAGAGGAAGCTCATTTTCTAGTTCGACCAGCGTCTTGGTCCGGAAGCTTCCTCTGGGCTTCCAGATGCAGCTCCGGCGAGTCGGGTAACGAGTGATGATGCGATATACGAATTTGACTCGCGCTTGACGCAACGGTGCGGTCTGAGGTGAGCCGCCATTTTCGATTGGCTCTACAGCCATTGTCTGTGAACGTCTCATGTCCGCCAAGAAAGAGACTGTCTTCTTGTGTTCCACAGTAGGGCTCGTTGGACACGAGGTGTCAACTGGCGCTGGTGCTTCGGTGCTGCTGATAACCTCATCTTGCTGAATTGAACGCGTATCAGTTTCGACGTACAGTTGCTTGGTCGCTTCATCAATGAATGCGTCAACAGAATCTTCTCTGTCTTCGACGTCCTCCGCATTGGCTTCCCCCATGTGTAGATCCGACTCCGCTTGGCCACCAGTGACAGAGCCACCAGGAACTTCTAGTTGGGCTCCAGATGACATGGCGCCGGCGTCCATCTCCGGAGGGGAGTCCTTATCCATTGCCTGCAAGGCCTCAAACAGTCGTTCGCCTGTTAAAATCCCATCGCGTTGAGGCGCATTGCGCTTGCGCGGCGACGTCAGACTTGTTTGGGGATCGACCGGAGCCTCATCTCGCTTCTTTTTCGATGTCTGATGGAGAGACTGCATAGTGTCAACCCTCGGACGCTTGGGAGGAGGCTCGGAAGGGTTCATTTCAGCAAAGGGCGCCAATTGACGATCTTCCATAGGGCCAGTCGAGGAAGTGAGGTTGTAGGGATCGTTCTATCAAGTATCCCGTATTAGAATCACACTACGTGACAATTCTACATGACGAATTTCGCTTACGGAATTATTCTCGACTTCTTGGCCATGACCTTCGGGTTCGCCCTGGAAGTCTGTGGCAACCCCCCTTTGCAATTGCAATAGTCCTTGAACCTCTTCCGAGGTAGAGTCTAATTCGTATGGGTCGACAATTTTTGAAGGAGCAGCCGCCTTATCTGTCTTGGTCGAGCTACGCCATCAAATGTAAGGAGAATACTCTCAGTATGTGCGGGATGCCGATCACTCACCTTGAGGTGGAAGGCATTCCAACCGCACTAGAGTTCTCGAGTGACTCCTCAATCTCATCTACATCGATGGGGTTCTCGTGACTACCTCTCCCATCAAGAGTGCGTGTGTGGACGTTGCCCGTCTTCACCTTGTTCTTTCTGTATTTGCCATTGCGGTGCTGCTGCAGGTTCATTCTCCAAAAGAGCTGCTTCAGGATTCGCTTGATTCTATGAGACATGAACTTATCAGCCAATTTTCTTTCTTAAATAGACAGGATTGCCGTTATTACTTACTTCGTGCCATGACGGGAATACTTGAGCTTCTTAACACTGCCTTGGGCATGTTCATCCGGCCAAAGTCGAGCTCCGTTTTCGTCACGGTCGAGAAATTCATGGGCCATCTCCTCAAGAGCACTTTGATGCTCTGGAGACTTCCACTCGTACATCTCACTGCCTTCATAGCCTTGTCTGGTTTTAAAGGTCTTGCGGAAAGCCCGGACGCTGTCTTGGAATAATTTTGACTGACAATTCGACGGGTCAGAGTCGCCATATCCGAGCTGATGCCGCAGAGCAGAGACGGATGGAATGGACGTTGGATTGATGGAAGACGACATGGCTACCAAGTGAAGAAAACACTTGGTAATGACAAGCAAGAAGCTCAAGTAGAGAGTCGTTCCAACATAGGATACAGAACACGAGCTGAGAGCATGGGTCGATTCAGTAAGACCACATGTTCCGCCAGCTGCAGCGCTGCTTTCTCTCTTGACGGAATGAAGGGGGAACTGCCCCTCATTATATACTTCTCAAGGCGACAGGGGGGTGGGGCTTGTGACTCGGGGCTCGCTCGATCCTTGATTCTGCCTGACCACTCTGCTTCAGCGATTAGGCAGAAGGGTGGTAGGAGTGACAGAGCTGAGACGCTGGCGATGGAAGGGTTGAAGGGAATGAGCCAGTAGCAAAGAATGAGATTTTGAAGAAGATAGATGGGCTGAAGATTGTGAAAAGGGTGAAATGGATGAAGTTGGCGGAACGTATGACACGGTTTTAAACGGGGTGAAGTGTAGTGGAATATGTTGAACTTGGTATAAATGCGTGCAAAACTTAGAGAGACGAAATCAAAATGCAATAGTAGAAAATGATACAAGAGCTAAAAAAAAATTGAAACGTGTGCTGCTCGAAAGTGGGCTTTCGGCTAAGAGAATGTGGCGGTGGTTCTTGTGACATGTGCAAGATAGGTGTGAATAAGTGTGAAAGTTGAGAAGACTGGGAAAGGTGAAAGTGGTAATCAGAAAAAGTAAAGTAGTTGTAGAGCCAAAAGCGATGAAAGGGCCAGATAGAACGGAAAAGATCGAGAATGGTGAAGTGTTTAAAAAAAAACTCAAGGAGTGAAACAATTGAACTGAGGGAAACGGCTACAACAGTTTGAAAGAGTATAATTGTGGGAAAGGAGTAAAGATGGTAGGATGGGCATTACGGTTGAAATGAGTACCAGAATTGGAAACAGTGAGACGTGTGAGGTAGGTAAAATGTGTGAAAGTGCCAATGGAGTAAAATTGGCTGACAGTTGAACGGAGTAAAACAATCAAGATAGAGTGAAACGACTGAAAAATGCCAAACTCCTGAAATTCCTGAAATTCCTGAAATGTTGCCAACAGTCGAGCAAGTGAAATGGCGGAAATCAAGTGAGCAGAATGAAGTGTGCGCAAAGGTTGGAATAGATCGGGTGACGGCCATAGAGAAAAGGAATGAAAAAGGTGTGATGATTCAGAGGAGCAGAACGAGAGGAACGGAACGAAAAGGATCAAATTGGCGTAGGGCGAGAAAGGTCAAAAGTGTTGGAGATATGCAAGCGACAAAATCACTAAGTCATAGGCATGTCCAACTCAGAGGAATGAGAAGTTTGCTCAGCGCGTAAAAACAAATGAAGTGGGCAGAATCAATGAGAGGATCGAAGTGAGAGACACAGAGCGAGAAGAATAAATTTGGTGCCATATTTAGAGTAATCAAAAGTGACAGGAAAATGAGATCTACAAAATCAAAAATTCTTATTACAGCTGAGCCACATCAAAAATTTGCCCAGCGCAATCTTTGAACGATCGAAAATGTTGGAAAAAAATGAATCGATGGAATCAAAAAAAGTCATGTCAAAGTTGAGCCACACCAAAACCTCACTCGGCGCGTAACTTGCAGAAGACCAAAGCAACCTTGGACTCAGCTGGCAAGGATCACTGCATCCATCACGTCAATCTTCAGAGCCATTGATAGGATGGAACCCAGTTCCGGTCAAGTTGGTCCGGCACTTGGTCGAGATATTTCTGTTGGTTGATACGTATCTCGTGTTGGAACGGTCAGGTCGCAAGAGACCAAACTCGTTTTTGCGGCACAGTCGGTTCATGTCTGAGGCCTCCTGCGGTTAGGTTGCAATTATGGCCTGGAATGGATGAATGAGTCTATGAGTGGTATCGGCGGCCAGATTAGAGGCCTAGTACCCCTTAAATAAGGAAGGCGTTGAAGGGTTGGGTTCGAAGCGAGGCGCAAGAGGGTTGTGCAAGGCATACATGTTATGAGTGTTGTTTGTACTAATTCACGTCATCTACACTTTTGCGTTGGGGAAAACTGTGACGATGTTACATGTACGAAGGACCATCACTGGCAGTCAAGATTTTCTCATTAGTACCGCAAAAGAAGATCCCATGTGAGCACCTAGCACTACTCGGAATTCCTCTTGCATCCCGACTAATGAATTAAGTGGCAGTAGCGTGGATTCTTAACGTTAGTACAAACGCCGGACACGGATCGGGGCGAATTCGTCGAGACGGTCGGGATTCGTGGAGATATTGCGGATAATTATTATGGGGATGTTCGGCATCGGTCTTCAAGCAATCGGTGCACGTGCGGCCGCTCTTGGTGACTACTGCCAAGAAAGCGATTATTTCCAAATGGGCCACATACTTCCTGATCACGTTTCTAGTGGCACCAGTTATGTTTTAAGGATTTGTTATTGTCTAAATGCAATGCTAGACTACCGAGATCCCAAACCGAACAGATAGGAAATAAATGCAAAACGTAGTGGATAAACGCCAAGAACTCACAACGCTCATGTCATATTTTTGGGGTTGAGAACATCAAACCCGGTTGAGGAGCGAAACTCAACCCACCACGTGAGGGACACCCCTCTTCCACTTGAGTTCCTTACCGTGCTTACTCTTGTGGTGCCTCGACACATTGTCCCGCCTCCCCTGGTGTTCGCACCCCTGGTGCGGGCACTGGCGGATCTCGGAGCGCACGTTGTTCTTCTCGGCAACGTCCTTGTGGCGCGCCTGCATGTGCCGCTCTAGGTCCCGCACTTGAGCGAACTTGTGCTCGTGGCGGTGCTCGGCGCGGCAGATGGTGCAGACAAGGGCCTTGCGATGGACGCGCTGGTGCTGCTTCAGCTGAGCCTCCTTTGCAAAGGTCTTTGTGCAGCCGTCGGTGGTGCAGCTGTATGGGTGGGAGGAGCTGGAAGGGGCGTTTGCGCTGTCTGATCCGGGGGAGGAGAAAGTTGTGTCGAGGGGCGAGCCGTCGGTGCTTGCCGGGAACATGGAGAATGAGTCAGTTTCGGGGAAGAAGTCGAGGACAGGCTCGAAGGGGGAGGTGTTCGTGCTGCCCAAGTAGGAGGAAACCTGGTCGCCAGAGAGGTAGCCAGAGGTAGAGAGGTCGGGCAGAGGGCTGTTAAAGTCAAAGAAGTTGGGGCCTAGGCTCTGCGCGACATCGAACTGGACGGCGGGGTCGTTGAAGATTTCCTGAGGAGAGTGGGTGGTTTGGTAAGTTGGTTCCATGGTGGAAGGGTCGAAGGTGGTCATGTCGTAGTCGCCCGTAGCGAGCATGTCCTGCTGCATGAGCATTGCCCAATCGTCGCCCTCGTCCGAAAGCTCAAAGAGCTCGGAGAAAGGCGAGTTTTGATACATGCTGTCGTTCATGGCATCGGGTGCAGCACGTACCGGCTGGGCCCCGTAGGGCCAGCCTGTGGTAGTGACCGCCATAACTGCGACTGAAGGGGGGAACCCGGGGTGGTGTGTAGTGTTCTCGCTTGGAAGTCTGCCAACGATATTCGTTGCAGCAGACAGGTCGTAGAACTCCGTTTCAGGAGTCGAAGGTTGCTGGTAGTAAGGGTCGTATTGGTAAAGGGTGGTTGACTCGGCGATTTGCTGAGCTAGCTGGTTTACGAATGGTTGCGTTTGTGTGAATTCTTGTGGACGGGCGCTATCAAGTTCAGATGGCCGATCGAGAAGTTTTACGACGTACTCAGGTCCTTGGCCAACCTGGGGGTAAGCGTTAGAGGCAAGTCGCGAGAGCAAGCGTAGACGCGCCGTCGGCGAGCTTACCGGTGCGAATAACCAACATCATCCTCGCAATATTAGACAGCAACAGACAACAACTGCATCACGCCGTTGAGTTTCCCAGAGGAGACCTGTCGGCATGTATCCGGAATGTCCAGATGTGCCGTTTGGCCATCGTCTGGGGACACCGGAACTGGGGTAACGAAATCTAGGTCCTCCATAGTTGCAAGGTCCGAAAGCCGGACGCTCGCCAATTTATCCCGGGAGGAGAGGGAACAAGAAGCAATCATGTCTTCGCGGCATTTACCACAAGCAATAGGTGCATGGCGGGACTAGGTTTGTGTGTTAGCCTCTCGTCATGAGAGAAGAGTCTTGTATTCAGTCGTTAACTAACCTTGCGAAGTAACAACTGCACAGGTAGGCGTCGGCGTTCTCTGAACGTCAACAAACGTGGTAGTGGATATCCTCCATCGTCGGAGCTGCCTCCATCAAAAGGGGACTCCGTTTTCTCGAATTTGACTGGGTTCAGGGTGGAACGGTGCAGTTCCATCTTCGAAGCAAAGGCGTCTCCCATGTCGACCATAGTCGTGACCCGAGGATCAGGAGTCGCCCAAGCATCCAAGTCAAATTCGTCTGACATGTTGTAAAGGCATAGATAGCGATCAGGGTCGCCATCGAAATCGTGCGAGTCCCAGCGGTCTTGGACCGGTGGATCAGCGTAAGAAGCCATATTGGCTGCGGGGTAGATCGTTGATTCAACTAGAGCATCTCGCAGTAGTCGCAGGGGCGTGGGGTAAGCTTGGTAGCTTGAAAGCTTGTATCAATCGGCTGGGTTAGATGCGATCAATGGTAAGGTGGTAAGGGTAAGGTAAGAAGAGGTAGGTAGAGATTGAAGGTATTCGGAGCGGATGAGGAAGGAAGAGAGGTCCAACAGTCGAAATGCGCGAGGGATGCCTGGGGATTTGAAGTCCTCAGTAACTCAGGCCCGCTTCTTCTGAGTGGTTGCCTGTGCCGAGTTCCCAAGGCGCAGCGATTTTGGCCTCAGTGGCCCGTGCGATGATCGCAAGCAGGGATACTCAATCTGCGAGACATGCAACGCCGATTAAATGTTAGAACTGCAGCATACATCACCACCCGATATGCTTCACATGTGAGCTATAAATCCACTTGAAAATTGAGATAGCTTTTAACTGTTTTATATCGCAACACAACACATTACCAAAGATATCACACAGGTATATGGTGTCGCTAAATGAAAAGAACTTTGGTTCAGCATCGTAATGGTCAGCATCAATGTACCCATGCGGGTGCGACGGGGCTGAACGGTGGGCGGATTTCTCTGGGTGGATCCATTGGCTCGCTCGCTTCCAACAAAGCCCCACATGGCGCGAGAAAAGATACCGAGTGACTTGAGGCCGCCGCAACTTTCCCCGTCCATTTCATGCCAATCGCGCCGTTGCCCATTTCTCAACACTGAAAATCAGGGCACATATGATGCAACATCTTCGGTGACCCTTCTTTTGGTCTCAATTCGTCGATAATTATTGGTCGCCTTACGTTGAGTCAATCGGGCAAGATATCTTTGCTTTGACTGCCGTGATTTTGGCACCAATTGTCGCATCGTTTACATCGTCGCAGCTAAAGGATAACGTCTCATCGCACGATGCCATCCATCCACGCCGACGACACCATAGCTCGTACACGTTCGCGAATGCCACCGCGGCACAGTACAACGATCTGATACGATGTTACGCTAACCCGTATTTCAATGCTTTATTCAGACGCTCACGAAGTCTCCCCAGATCCTACAGTCTTACAATTAACCGCCAAGGCTGGTCTTGTTCAAGAAGCCAATTATCCCAGTCCGGGGAAATACGATAATTATTTCAATGCCATTCGGTCCGATGCCACACTGAACCTGGCGTTGTTGTGTCCCATTAACTGGTTTCCATCGCAAAAAATTATCTGGAGGCGCCGATTAAGCATCAAGAGGGCAGGCGAGATGGGCGAAGTGCGTCGACAGTCCAGCAACGTCACTGGGACTACCAGAAGCAACAGCGGCGGCAGGTACTACCCCAAAGGAGACGGGTTTGTTCCGCGGAGCAAAACAATTGCGTCGAGGGGGAATCGAACCCCCGGCTCCCCGACGCTGCTGGATGGCAACGGAGAATTTTACCACTAAACCATCGACGCTGATTAAGCTTGATCAGCTTGTGACTTTCGCCGCGATTTTGCGCGCCATGTTTTCTGCCCGATGCTGGATTGATCGCGGAAATCGCGTCTTGTCACGAAAGCCACGGGCTTCGTGAGTGCAGACCGGAGATGTGGTAGAGTGTTTTCGAGTGAGGTCGAGATAGACTCGGCAGCGGGGATGGGCCAAACTTTGTTTCGTCAAAGCTCAGCTTCCTTGCTTCCGATCTTGGCGGTTGGAGTGACCAAAGTCAACGATGACGTCTACACCGAGGAGTGGAGAAATTCCGGAGCGGTACCCGGGCGGCTGGGGAAACAGCCTGGCCCCGGATCCGGAGGCTGCGGTTCGACCGACGCCGACGGACGCATTGCCGGCCTCTCACGTAATGAGGTTCCATCCGGAGATAGGAACTTGCGGCGCTCGGGGTCCTTCGGGCTCCTTTGGCAACATGGGCATGACAAACGGGAAATGACGAACTATTACAGACTCCCTCAAGCGAACACCACCGTTGAAACCGAAACCGAGCTGCGAGTCGAATGACGGGATGAACCGAGACCGAAGTTAATGTTGTAATCCACAGACCTTTCGACGCTGCAATATCTTGTAGCCGTAGAAAGACGTAGGAATCATGAGCACATGAGCGTTTTTCGATGCGGCTTCCGCACCGGAGCGTTCGGCTGATTCGTTCTGCGATGCGATGTCAGGGGAGCTTGGTCGGCTTCAGTAGCCTCTACTGAAGGGTTGCGGCTATGTTCAGTGGGGGAATAGCGAGAGCATCTTGAGTCGAGTGTCCCCTTTTCTCGGCGCAGCAGAGTTCTAAATGATGGCAGTCTTTTCTGCTCTATATAAGCCAACATGCAGCGATCCTCGAAACATCCAGGTTGACCTACGAAGAAGTCGATTGTCTCAAGAGCCCCTATCTTGATACGCACCATCTTCAATTACAACCGACCATGAAGCAAATTAAAGCTTGTCTGCTGGCTGCTGTAGCCGTTTCGGCATCTACCTGCTCTGCCGAGACGAGCACCGGAGATCGTGTCATCCAGCTTGGCAAAGACTTATATAATGGCACAACTAAGGTCCAGTTCACCACAGAAGCTCTCGGTGAAGCAGACTTCTTCAAGATCGACCCGGGCCCGAACGCAACTACCTTTGACTCGTACGTCATCAGACCCTACGTGCAGCTAACCCCCCCTGCTGCATCCTGCCATATATGTGATTGACTCAAGGTCTCCACAGATGGTACTTTGACGCGATGAACCCTTCGACCAACGAGACCGTCGTCTTCAACTTTGAGATCCAGAGACCGACCGATAACGGCGCAGATGTAGGCACCACACAGTACCACGTATCCCTGTTCGGATCCTTCGCGAATGGAACGGCCTTCAGCTACGGAGTCAACTCCGAGTACGCCAACATCACCGAGCGGGCGGACAAGAGCATGCGCGTCGACTTTTTCGGCGGCAGCGAGGTCAGCTGGTCGGGCTCGAGCTTGCTGCAGCCGAGACCGGTCTATAATGTGACCATCAACTCTCCCGAGACTGGCATCTATGGAAGTCTTATCTTGCGAGGCAACGTGAGTACAAGTCTACTACCAAATCGGATGGCCGGAAGACTGACATACTGGCTGTTTCCAGACCGTCGCCCCCCACTACACCTGCGGCACCGACGCAGCTGGCGTAAATGAGAAAAACGTCGAAGGCGTAGCCTGGGCCAACGCCCTTCCCGACGCCGAAGCAACAGTCGACCTCAAGCTCGGCGACACGGCGATGTCCTTCTCCGGTTACGGCTACCACGACAAGACCTGGGTCGACCGTCCCTTCCAGGAAGCGATTCAAGCCGCCTTTTGGGGCCATGCTCGTCTGGGTCCATATGCCGTCGTCTGGTGGCACTCGCACGCACAGGACGGCACCGAGATCAGCTCCGAGTACCTCGCGACCTACGAGGACGGCCACGTGATTGCGTCGCGATGCGTGGACCGCGTGAATAACACGCTGGGATGGGGTGAGGGGCAGATTTGGCCACTTGTGCCTGGGACGCCAGCGCCTGCTGGGATGATTATGCGGTGGGACTTGGGGGATGCTGGGGTCTTTGTGGCGAATATTACAAGTAAGGATATCTTTGTCACGATTCCTTTCTGGCAGGCTGGGAGAGGGCCTGTTTCTGGGGGTTTTGTCGGTGGGGAGCAGTACACCGATGAGACTGGGTTGTGGTCTCTCAACCAGCTTCCCAAGTTGTAGCAAAGTTGGTCTTGAATCGGCTGCACACTCACCATCGTAAACTCTTCCTGTAGTAGATATTTCATGACTTGATGTTGTAAAACATTGACATCATTGAGCCGAGGCGTTATTTCCTGGTACATTTGAAGGTTAAAAGATAGAATATATAATGTATTGCATACACGATGCTATCTTAGTAGTCTACGCCTATTTTCCGAATCGCCTTGAACCCAAAAATGACTTGCGAATTGTTTGCGAGTGCGTCATTTTGCCATGTCGAATTTTGTCGCTCTTAAACCTTGGTGTTTATTGCGATATTCTGAGCATCATCCAACATCCCCTTAACCAACCTGCCAGCTGCACCTTGAGGCGCTGTCAACACTCTAACATCTTGTTCCATAATATGACAGCAGCGTCAGCATATTTCGGGATGCTTTGGAGCAAGCAATCGAGAGACGTTGGTAAGTTACGCCCACGTGATGTCCAACTCCAGCTACCAAATCAACTCCAGAGCAGCTGACAGACCGCCTCAGACAATGAACTGAACAATCCAGCTCATTCCAGCCGGCACAACCACCGTCGTTCTTCACGTCTTTCGGCCAATCAGTACATGTCATCTCCCCAGCATTGAGGAAGCGCATTCGGGGGCTGCAACCGCGGGAGAGAGTGCGTGAGTTTGAGCAAGATACTTGCATCCGCGCTAGCGCCCGCCGCTCCCCCGCCCCCGACATCCACCAATTCTGATTCGCCGGCTGAACAAGGGGACCATTCCCATCTTGAGCCTCTCGCCCAACCTCAAGTCAGCCAAACGACCGTTTTTCACGAAGGAAACATCTGGGCCGCCTGTTTGGCTCTTTGGCAATCTCGCTCAAAGACCAGCCAAATGCTCGCTAGACTCAGGTACCTTGCCTAAGTGAAAATAAACTTGCTCAGTTGGTGCCCTCCATTGGTGTACTTCCCCGTTGCGGAACTGCTCGCCTCTCGGTCTTTCAGTACGAGGCTTTTGTCTTTTCCATTCCCTGTCGCCATGAGGACAGCCCGAGGCCTCGATATGCTGCTGTTATTTCACAGTATATCCGCCAGCGGGCTGTTTCCCTTGAGGCCGCACCACAGGGTAGCGCCGTAAGAAGTCTAGGCCGCTCTCACTGTGGCGTGTGAGGGAGTTTTCTTCGTGCGGAAGCTGGGCTGCCTTAGTCTACCTGCCACGATGCTTACAGCTCAGATCCCTGTCTACGTGACATCCCAAAAGTAAGGATAAGCTACCCATTTAAGGTATGCTGCAGGTGTTACGTGCGGAGGTTGATTTGTTTATATAAATGCTTGCCTCGCAGAAGTTAAGCTATGGTACCTCCAGCCATCCTCTTCTTCATCTTCTTGGCAGTCCTCTTCCATCGTTGATCTCTCCATCTGACCCGCTGTACAAAGTTAGAAGCTCTGTCGATCTCATACCACTTGCAATCATGGCCCCCAAGACCCTCCTGCTCGCCCTCGGCGCCGCTAATTTTGCGTCCGCTCACTTTGGCCTCGCCTACCCTTCATGGCGCGCTGATACCCTCAGCGGAACGAACCTGACGGGTTACTCTCAGTGGACTTACCCCTGTACAGTTCCCCTCTTTTCCCAGTCACTCTTGCCTTCGTCTCCCCGTAACTCGAGTGCGACAAGTGACACAAGCTGACCTCCTCACCAGGTGCCGGCGTCCCGTACGGAAGAGGCAACGTCACAGACTGGCCCCTCGACGGCGGCTCCATCGAGCTCGACCTGCACCACGACTGGACCTACGTCTTCATCAACCTCGGCCTGGAGTCCGGCGGCAATGTCACGACGCATAACATCACCCTCACCCCGCAGTTCTGGAACGCCACCGGCTCCGGCACCCTCTGCGTTGAGAAGCTTGCGCTGCCGACGCCCGCAAAGGACGGACAGAGGGGAAGTATCCAGGTTGTTACTGTCGGAGAGTCTGGGTCTGGACTCTACAACGTATGTTCTACTATCTTCTTTGATCAAGTACTGTGGATGCTTGTCGAAAGAAACGTTCTGTGGAGAGGATGCTAACGTGATGGACGATGTAGTGCGCCGACATCCGCTTCACTTCAAACGCCACCACCCTCCCCTCGGATCAGTGCAAGACGGAGGGCGTAACGGTCCACACCATCAAGGAGCAGAGCGCCAACGGAACCAACAGCACCAGCGGGAACAGCACGGGCAACTCTACCTCAGGCAGCGGTTCCAGCGGCGCGGCAGGCAACGGAGCCCACATGCTCGCCCTCTCATCGGTCGTTGGTCTCAGCATGGCATTTGTCTTTGGCGTGAGTCTGTAAGACAACATCCAGAGAGAAAAGATGTGACGGGAGCTTAAGGTGTCTTAAGACATCTATCACGGAAGAGGGGACAGCATGAGAAATGCGTTCGTGCTTCTAATGTACATGAATGCTTGATACCAGTTCATCCTCTGGATGACCGATATGATAATGAAAAGGAAATTTCTCAAAAGATGCTATGCTCAGTTATATGTATGTGTATATATGAGATGCGAACCGTGTCCAAATATGACCAAATGCAATGCGGCCTGACCTGCGTCAATATTACTGAACGAGGTCGGCGTGAATCCCCAAAACCAATCAAAAAGCACTTACTCAAAAACCATGCATGCTACTTTCTCAACATCAGTGGTATCTCTCGCAAACATCATGCAGCTTCATGCGCACCGGCGGGGCAGTGGCGTCTATCTCGACCGAAACGACAACGTATAATCCAGATTAAATCCATGCCAA